CTCAAGTGGATGCCCTCCTCTCATAGGCCGAACCCCGCCCGAAGCGCCCTAACGCCGTGCTCCTAATGCAAGTACGTGGGGGCAATCTCAAACTTCAAAAGCGGTATGATCGAGTGCTGGCGGTTAAATAAAAGGAATGCTCGTGATTAGGAATGGGAGCATGTGCAGCTATCAAACATGGATACCAAGTACCGTCAACCTGACCCTGGCGTGGCCGAGACCAGCGACCATGCTTCAGAGTCTCCGGAAAACCCGAATATCACGGCCGGATCGCAGCATCTGCATCGCAAGCTGGGCGGAAAAGAGGTTCAGCTCTTCGCGGTCGGGGGAGCCATAGGAACATGTACGTGTCGGCATGCCGGTAGCATTGAGGGCACAATTTTCCAAACCCCCGACTAACTGTCCCCAGCACTTTTCGTCCAGGCGGGTGCTATGTTGCCTAAGGCTGGTCCTGCAGGTCTTCTAATTGGGTTTCTTGCGTACACGCCTATTATACTTGCTGTCAATCAATGCTTTGGTGAGCCTGTTTCCTCCGAACCTTTGTTCCCGTGAGCTAACTATTGCAGCGGAGATGGTCTGCTATCTGCCCATACCCTCTCCATTCATTCGGCTCGCCGGTCACTGGGTAGATGACGCCCTTAGCTTTGCCATGGGCTGGAATTTCTTTTTCACCATGGGTTAGTCGTAAACCCTCTCAGCATATTCTGCAAGGTTAACCTCAACAACAGCATTGGGGATTCCGTACGAGATCGTCGCTATCAACATCCTCCTCACCTACTGGACGGATCGTGTGCCTGTAGCGGCTGTCGTGGTGATTATGCTGGTGCTTTACACGTGGGCATCTCTGATCCCTGGGCTATTATATCTTCGACATGACTGATTCAATCTCAGACTATTGAACGTATTCACTGTTCGCTTCTTCGGAGTGTCGGAGTTCTATCTGTCATTTTTCAAGATATTCCTCATGGTCGGACTTCTCCTATACACCTTCATTACCATGGTCGGAGGCAATCCCCGGCACGATGTGTACGGCTTTCGATACTGGCGTGACCCGGTGACTACATCCTCTCATCGTTAGGCATAATCCAGACTGATGACATGCCACGCAGGGGGCTTTTGTGTCCTACATTGAACCCGGAAGCATCGGACGCTTCTGCGGCGTTCTAGCCTGCATGATCCAAGCCTCATTCACGTACGGCCAACCCATCCACCTAACCTCCATCTACTTCCATAACTCACCCATGCAATAGAATGGTCGGCCCGGAGTACATATCCATGGCCGCCGCAGAAGCCGCACGACCACGACGAGTAATGCGCAAGGCCTACGCGGCGTACCCCTGGCGACTGGTTACATTTTTCATCCTGGGTGTACTATCAATGGGTATACTCATACCTTACAATGATCCTACGCTTGCTGCGACCTTAGGAGGATCGGGGCACGAAAGTGGCACGGGAGCTGCGTTGAGTCCGACCCTACCCAGATATTCATCCAGACTCTGCCCTCTAACATCCATCTCTTCTCCAGCTCACCCTACGTAATCTCCATGAACCACTTCAACATCCAGGTCCTCCCAGACATCGTCAACGCCCTAATCATGACCTCCGTCTTCTCTGCCGGCAACAACCTCGTCTTCTCCGCCGCGCGGACCCTCCACGGCATGGCCCTCGAAGGCCGCGCCCCATCCCTCTTCGCACGGTGCAACCGCAACGGCCTCCCCTACTACGCCGTCGGCGCCTCGCTAACATTCTGCCTCCTGGGCTTCCTCCAAGTAAGCAACTCCTCCGCGACCGTACTGAACTGGCTGGTGGGAATAATCGTCGCCTCATACCTGTTAAACTACGTCGGCACGTGCATCACATACCTGCACTTCTACGCGGCAATGCGCAGACAGGGTATATCCCGGGATGCACTCCCATACAAGGGAGTTCTGCAACCGTATGCGGGGTGGTTCGCGCTGGTGGGCACGATAGTCATGACGTTAATTATTGGGTTCGAGATATTTCTGGATGGACAGTGGGATGTGCAGACGTTCTTTCTGGATTATACCATGGTTGGGTTTTTCGTTGTTGCGTTTGGGTTTTGGAAGGTGGTGAAGAGGACGAGGTATGTGTGGCCGGGGACGGCGGATTTGGGGCTGGGCGGGTTGAAGAAGGAGATTGATGAGTATGAGGCTGGGGTGGTGGTTCCTGTTAGGAGGGGGGTTGCTAGGGTTTGGTATGGGTTGTTTGAGTAGGTTGGTTTGGGGTTTGGGGAGTAGATGGGATGGGGATGCTTCGTTGCATAGGAATGAGGGTGATGGGAATAAGGCTTGATTAAAGATCGGTCTTGTTGATTGCTATAGATTTCATACGATAGGTTCTTCCCAGTAGCTAGTCAGTGTATGGTAGATCGAACGATGGCCCCGTGTTCTGTCGGGAGGTGTGCACCCTTTCGAGCCGCGACATTTCCTCCCTGATGCGCTCTCCGAATCCTTCTGGCTGCGTCTCTGATGGCCCACCTTCCACTGCCTCTGCTTCCCCGGCCGGTCCCTGCTCTCCATTAGTACCCGGGGCTTCCTTCTCCGCCTCTCCTTCCGCATCAACGGCCAAACGCTCCTGCGATTCCTTCTTCGCCTCCTCCGCCAGTACCGCATAATGCGCCCGACGGTACACCCCAAGGCTACTCAGCACCATCCCGACAATCTCATACGCAAACAGAACCGGCAACGCGTAATCCAGTTGGGGATTGCACCCACCGGACCAAATATCCACCATGACCTGGAAGATAGCATGCGCGGGAAGCGCATATCCCCATTTGTAGAACCCCGGGGACAGCTCAAACGGCAACAGGATTGACGAGACATTCAATACAACCCATGAGATAAGGGCCATGGGAACGAATGGCGGTGCTAGCCAAATAGTAAATACATCCAAGACGAGGAAGTTCAGATGCGCGAATAACCACAGCGCCATCCAGGTAATCATGAATTGGGCGCCGTTAACGTGCCAGCCATATCGGAAGGCCCAGATGGCGCCGGTCGTGCAGAGCGCGCCGATGAAGGTGTATGTGGCTGAGATGAGCTGGCGGATGATGGCGATGCGGTGCGCGTCAACTGAAGTGTACAGGTGAAATTGCTGGTAGAGGCCATTGAGGTAGCCAAGATAGAAGAATTCTTGAATGAGGATGAGGATGACCACTAGCGTGTTGTAGATAAGGCGGGAGCCTTGGGTGGTGGGTTGGATGTTGATGGCGGAGAGCGTCCAGGGGTCAGCGAGGGTAGCGATGGCTGTCTGGTCAGAGGTGCTCATAGTTTGAAGGATGGCAGGGCCGTTGGTAGTGGTGTAGATGATGCGAGCAGCTTCAGATAACGACAGGATGTTGGACTCGATAGCGGAATCTACGACGGTGGAGTAGCGCGCCTCATTCCAGACTAGGGTCATGACATCACTTGTATTGTAAGTTGCTGTCCCGATGCCGGTGAGAGCAGCTGATAGACGCGAGGAAGCATTCCCGACGATGTACAGGCCTCCCCAATAGTGAATATTGCAGACGGTGGAGACGATCGACGCAGGATTGGGATAAGCCTGGACTGACTGTTCGCGGAGGGTCGGAAAGCCGGACCCTTGCAGCTGTTGGTAGGCAGCGCGCACGGCCCGACCGATGGCCCCGCCATCGTAGTCAACGAAGAGGACATTGAGGTTATGAATATGAGTGGTCTGTTGAAAGATGGACCCGAACAGATAGCAGAACAGACCAAGGAAGAGGAGTTGTAAGATGAGCAGGTTGATGGTGGCAGCCTTGAGTACGGCTAGACGCAGCGGGCGCACCTCCGGGTCGTGGATGCTGCGGTGAGGGCGTTGGCGGGCAGCGGCATACAAGGCCATGGGTGTATCCTAGGAGCAGTCCAATTTTCTTCTGTTAGATATAACCTCCAGAGGTCGTGAAGATACGGCAATCTCCCGGTGATAGTGAGTTGAGGGCTGGGCCGGAATCGCGGGGAAGTCAAGTCGGAGGGAGATTCCATGGTTGAGCGATGGATACGAGATCCGGTCGTTGAACCTTGTTTGTTCCTTCTTTGGAAGGTTTAGTCATCGGATTAGAGGTAATTCTCGAAAATCGTCCCTCTGTGCCCTCTATAGCAGTGCATATGTGAAAAGTGCTGTCTCGACAGTGCTTCTCATAGATACTATATACAACTTGCGAGGCCCACTACCAAAATGAGCGGAAGTACCCCCTGGGCTTCCGGTTGAGAACCAATGCCCGGTAACACAGAATATGCAGATTGGCTCGAATCTCCCGTCTAGTACTACTGAACAAAGCAATATTGTAGGACAATCACTAGTAGACAGCCGAATTATAGGGCAGCACCACGCAATTTCCCAATACGCCTGCCATTCGGCAGTGACAAAATCCCCGGCACTTGGGCCTTCGCGTCTCTTCCATAAGATCCCAGACGCCGACTAGTAGGAATGACCGACAAAGAGGAACAAGATCACCTAATTAATAAGGGGCAGATCCCGAAAAGCTCTTCGTTCGCTTGTATCTCAGTCGAATCACTGGAAGGTATATTACGTGGTAGTAGTAGTATCGTGTGTCAACTACAAAATATATAAATATTTTTACAGCTCCCACTGGTGCATCAGCATCATGGCAAAGGGCGACAACAGTTCTCCTCAGCGATCATCAAACATTGCCCGTCGATAGCAATCATTTCTGTCCACTAATACTTGCATAGCCATGTCAGAAGGAGTTCATCTTTCACAGAGCGCTTGTGCTCTATGCGGGGACTGGCCAACAGGTGGTGAACGGATAATAAGTGAGCCTTTGGCCCCTCAAACCTCGCGCAGTATCATCTAACCCAATCGCAGACCTTGACGGGGACCAAGTATCTTTCCAGACTGTACGTGAGTGCGAGATTGAATGCAGAGAGTGTGATGGCAACCCAATCCCAGAACTTTGGATTCATACCCGGTGTTATCAGCTTTTGATGGCCAGCTTCGGCCCATCTGACAGACCCTCCATGAAGGATATAAAGAATTACGCTGTTGATACGGGATTAATTTATGGGAAGAGTTATCCACGTGGACCTCCCGGAACAATTCTGGAGGGTCTCTCATCTAAGCATACCTCATGCATTATCACAGAGTCCTTCAAGAAAAGCTTTTTTGATAAATTGCCCCCGGAGATACGACGCAGGATCGCAGGGTTGTTTGGACCATGCTGGTACTTGGCTGTCCTAGGCGAGGCCCGCCGGCTCATTGACTATATTCGACAAAGCGAGAAGGATTTGGATGAAGAGCTTGACCTCGACGAAGACTTGTGGATATCGCGGATTGTTTGCCAAGATCATTGGTACCTATCACAGATCAGCAATATGCCAATTGAGGCGACTGAAGGAATGGAAGTTTTCCACATACAGCCACCCCAGACCATTCACAAGATCATCGCTTCAACGGACCAAATTGGTGTGCGTTGGATCCAGTTTCTCGACCGTGAAACTACTCCGACACAAGATCAGTCACCATGGTACGAGATATACGACGTGGAGGATTTTGAACCAAGGCTGTGGGTTGTCTGTAAAGTAAGCAACTCTATCCTCAGTATCTGGGCATCAGCTGACGTACTTAGGGTCTTATATTAAAGAGGATTGAAATCGACGATGACGAAGCAACACGTCTCTTGCCGTCGACGTGGACCTCCCCGAATACGCCCATTTTCCACCCATTAGAAGGTCTCTGCCATGGCCACTTACAGGAGGCTCAACTTCACCATATGAAACTTGGACCCCAAGTAGAAGGCATTATTGTCGTCCGCGCAGGCGCCTATAGCATAGTCGGGATCCACAACTTCTCGGGCCGGAACAAAGCGTTCTGGGAGTTTCTCGAACAGGTGCATGCCCGTAGAGGGCTACGGACGAACCCATCTTTATACTGGTTCTATTTCCCGTTGAATGACCAAGAGGATATCCTAAAGGTTTGGGATCGGCAGTTGGAACACCCCGACGGACGAACAAACTTCGATGGTTTAATTGTTAGTGCTTCCATCTCATATCTGATCTCAGGGACTGACCGGCTAGGTACAAACATCCTTCGGGAGGGATATGACATTCGGAGCGGTATATCCACCCGCCTTTACTAGACGTAGTATATACCGCCCTATGGTTCGGGACACTGATGGTCCAGTTTCCGGAATAGTTCACGATGGCATGGATTTGAGATTCCAAGGAATGTCGGTGTTTGGGGTTACCTGCCATAGCCCGCATGATGGCGAGACTCGAGCCCCGGTCCCAGTACGTTACGCCATTGGACCTCCAGGGGCCCATCCCAGCGACTACCTCGTACCATGGTATATGACCAAGGCCACATTAAGGGGTGTGACTAAGGTACAAGTGTGCAGGGACCGGACGCAGTCGCATCATCCTTGTCTGGGTATCTTGATGTTCTATGCCGATGGTCACATCGAGTCCAATGGACAGATTCGCTGGGATTATGGACTGGACGAAGAGATATGCAGTCCTTTCGTAGTCGCCTCAGGGGCGGTTAATGAAAAGGACACCATCAAGGACATCCGAAATGCAGAGGACCCAGTAGTGGCCGCTGTGCATCGAGGTGAATGGAAACCTCTGCCTAGTCAAGGGATACTCGCATGGTGGTTTAGCGAGTTGGGCGATAGACTTGACGTTTACTATGAGTAGTTGGTACTACATGGCTTTTTAAAGCTTCCAGAAATCGAACCCAAGTTCACGTATACTCCAGCGCTAGGGAATTAACACAACGCTTCGATTGAAGCGACAGTGCCTGTAGACCTGACGAGAATAATGCGCAGGATGACCATGCCACGTGAAATTGTGGCTTTATAGACTACGCTTCTTTTCAGTTACTTGATGCATCCGAAAGCATCGAATAAGACAACTGTGCGTAGCGATACAAAGATTTCCACTTCGTCTTTGGCGGAATATAATGAATATCAACACGAGACCGAGGCTTCTACAAGATCGGGTAATTGTCAGATCAGTGTCACAGGAATCTTGACATACGTTGCGCAGACACCTGATCAGACACCTTTTTCTGCGTCATAGCGCCTGCAGAACTCTATCTACGGAGCATACGTGAGAGAAGACTGTTGGCATATGGGAAGAATAAAATGACCAGGATGAGAGGAACAAATCTGCGTGGCAACCACATACAATCATTTAACAACCCTGGCAGTGGATACATGAGTCGCCTCCTGCTAAAAAAAAATCATCAATCATGGGTCCCGCATTCATTCTTCATCAACTGGACAACTCCATTGATCCGGGAAGCCTCAGGCGAGTGAATATTAACGTAATCTCGAGAATCAGAACCATCCACTGAACCAAACAGCGGCACCAGGAACTCATCTTCCCTTGAGTACGACCATACTCTAAACTTAGTACCGAATGCCGTGAACGCGTACACCTTTGACAAATTAGGGTGCCCAAGAAGATAGGCCATACAGACTGCGAATGCATGTCTCGTAAGCCCATCAAGATACTGAAGACTGGGATCAACCGCCACAGGTTCATAAACGCAAAATGCCATCCTATCGACATCGACATCGACATCGACACTGTCATCCCGTATATTATAATGTTCTATGGTAATGTCCAGGCGTTGACGGGGACAATCCTCTGGCGGGGGTTTGTAGAAGACAACCCAATCCTTTCCAGGGAAGAGATGTTTTATCAACAGATGACCCCAAAGCCTAACCACTGCTCTTTCATCGCCAGGTTTCTGGGCGTTCTCCCAAAGCCTAGTGAGACAGATATCATCGGCAATGAGCGACATTTTCTGTCGATGGTTAGCTGGACATAACCTGGTTTGGGGATGAGTACACTAACTTGCAGAAAAGATGGTATGTTTTTGAAGCGTCAAAATCAGGCAAATTTATGAGTTGCGTGTAGTAGGAGAGGTATTGCTAGAGACGAAAATTCAATCGTGCCATCTGGGAACTGCGGATGTATGATGGTGGATTTATACAGTTGGCAAGGTAGTTTGGAGGCATTTATCACTCCAGCTATTCCTTGGAGCCTAGTACTGGCCCGACTAGGCCGTAGCCTAGAGATAGTTAGATTTTGTGATGGTGGGTAGAGTTGAGATCTGATTCACTCTTCAGATATTGCTTTCAGATGGCGCCAAGTAGGCGCTTGTTTGTGTTTCCACCATTCGCCTAGGTGTTGCGAAGTCCCCATCTAAAGACTGACATACGGAGTGGTTGGGCACTGTCCATGAAGTTAATGAAACGCCTAACCCCAGCTGTCTGTCTCTATGTTTTAACTGTTGCGGTATGCCCATGCAGGAAGAGGCTTGAAATCTCGGCCATTCCCGCCAGCCCTTTCACCGACGGCAGCACCCTGTTCTTATTAGGGCTGAATATGGAATAGGTGCAGTTCCAGTGGATATTCTTCTAATAAAACTATCCTATAAAATATGTTCAGTGCGCAGGAGATCAGTTATCCTTTCAGCATCTGTCCGCCGCCCTCCCTATCATCAATCTCCCCAGGTATTGCTACCACTAATCGTCAAGACGCTTTCCTCCGATGCCTGCATGACCTGCGACTCGGAACCAGATTCTCAAAATGATGACAGCTACAAGAGCCAACCCAAATTGTTCTACCGGTCGACCGACCGAGGTGTCTGGTCGATTAGATCCAAACTGGTCCTCAAAGATCGAGGAAACGATATCCCAAGCGACGAGGCATCCAACATCCGACTTGTTGAGAATAGGACATCTATCCCAGTACCCAAAATCCTCAAGAAATGAAAAGAAGGCGATCATAGCCTGATGCTGATGGAACGTGTTCCTGGCGAGCCACTCAGCACTGCCTGGCAGAAACTCGCCGCGGAGCAGAGAGAAAACATCGCAAAACAAACAGCGGATTATCTGCTCCGACTTCGCGAACTTCAATCAGATTGTGGGCTGCCCCTTGACGGTGGACCAATATTACCCACCGCTAGCTTGAAGGACTTCAGGGGTTTTGTCCCCGCGGTCCATGCACTTCAGATGAAGAGCTTTGGAAAGAGATGGATGGTGCCTTGCATGAATCTGTTCCCGAGGCCGTGCGGAGACTACTCCGACGTCGAATGCCGCCGGCTACGCCTTATACCTTTACCCATAAGGCCTTAGCTACGTCAATATCATGGTAAAAGATGGCTCTGTTACTGGAATCATTGATTGGGAGACAGCCGCGTACATGCCTGTATGGCGTGAGTCTCTTTGTGTCTCATTCTCGGGTTGTGAGGAAGATGAAGAGTGGGGGATGTTGTTGCGCAACTACATGCCTGATCATTATGCTGTATACAACTTCTGACACCAGTATCACTACCTATGTCTCTATCCAAACATATGGGCAAAGCATTTCATCGACGAAGCCGAGCGTGAGGCTCTTATGGATGAGGAACAAATCTCGCTCACGGGATGATGGATAAGGTACATTTAGAGGGAATATGCGGCCCTCAGATATCAAGACTAAGATAATATAGAAGATAAAATTCAATCCTTGTAAATAATCACAGCTGCAACTAGTCAGTAACCAACATGTAAAGGGCGAGTTCATATAGTACCTAACCAGTCTATAGAACGTATCAGACACACACTAAGCCTATTGTGGTCTAGTATCTATGCAGGGATGATGCCTTGGCTCATCTCACACATCCATTGTTTGCCTCGATACTACGACAACCACAAACAATACCATGTTTTCCATGTTGAGAGGAGTCAGAAGGATACGACCGTCCCAGCCAGCAGCCCAGCTATCCATCCTTTGTCGCGGTATTGCCGTCAAACATCAAAGCGGACATATCTAAGTTACTGATATTCAAATAGGAAAACCAATCAGCCGGGATGAACTTTTTGCATATACAAACGGCCATTTCCTGGTCAATGAAGAGCATCAGCTGGCTCAACGCGACGTAAAATTCAATGTCGATGCTCTCTGCAGTGTAGCTGCGGCTCTCGGTGATGTTCCATCTCCCGTGGCAAGCGTGGACAAAATGGAAGGTGGATTTAGCAAGGCTCTCCTGATAAGAAAGGAGAACGGGTCAGAAGTCGTCGCTAAGATTCCATGTCAGATTGCTGGACCTGCAAGGCTGACAACTGCATCCGAGGTGGGTGTCCTTGAATACTGTATGTCGTCCTTCGCTCTCTCTTTTTCACCGGCGCATGTGAGAACTGATGGGACCGGTAGTACGCAGAAATACCACAATCCCGATTCCCCGGGTACTCTCATGGTCTTCAGACAGGGCAAACTCCGTAGGCGTCGAGTATATCGTAATGGAAAAGGCTACTGGTGTCCCCTTGTTTCGTGTATGGGGTGACATGACAGAGTCCGAGAAGTTGCAACTTATTCAGAACGTGACCAAGCTCGAGGCACAGTTATCCGCCATTCGGTTTCCTGCCTACGGTGGTTTATATTTGCGTGACCATCTAAAGAAATCAGAATATCAATGTCTACTGCTAGATGACAATGTTGATCCATCGCAATCATCTTGTATCGGCCCCTCTCCTGACCGGTCATTTGACACCCAGTCTGCTGAGCAGCCTACATCGGCAAACAAGCCTATTAATCGAAGCCCTTGTATGTCCCCTGCATTCTGCACCCTCAGAGTCACCGCTTATACTTACCATCTCACAGGGACCACAGTATCGGGACTTGGTATAGCTATTGCAGAGCGTGAACTATCTCGAATTGCGAGAATGCCACCTAACAAACCATCAATGTTCAATCATGGTAGTGTCGAGGAACAAGCCCAGCTTCTTGAATAATTCACGATAAGCCTCATGCCAATGCTAGACACTCATCCCTTACTAGGCCAATCTGCACAGCCGACACTTTGGCACACAGACCTTCACATGGGTAATATCTACGTTGCGCCCGACGACCGCACACGAATAGTTTCAGTCATCGATTTCCAGTCCATATCAGTTATGCCTTTATTCCTCCAGTCCCGTTGGCCCGAGTTCTTGAAGCCCCCAGACAACTACACCAAAGGCTTCACGAGTCCTGAGCTTCCTGGTGGGTACGACAATATGGACGATGAGAGCAAGATGCTGGCCCGACGCGAATGGTCGCAGGCCAAACTAGCAAAAGCATACGAAGTCTCGACCTACCTCGAGAACCGACCCGCACATACTGCGAGGAACGTGCCGCGAGTGTTCCGAGAATTGTTCACCCGGTGTGGGGAGGTGTCAGAAATGGGAGTTATTCCCCTTCGAGCATGTCTGATAGAGATCTTTCAGAACTGGTCCAACCTAGGCTTTACCGGATCGTGTCCATACTCCTTCACGGAAGAAGAAATACAGACGCATGAGCGACAGTTCGCTGAATACCAAGCATGGCATGATGTTCAGCATCTTGCACAAGAGTGTCTGGATACAGACGCCGAAGGATGGATATCACCCGAGTTAAACATGGAAGATAAGCGACGCCAGAACCGGGAGTTACTGGCGATGTTTATCGAGCGTATGGCGGGTGAGAAGTCCCCGGAGGAAGCGAGGCAGATGTGGCCGTTTCCAGATGACGCTTAGAGACCAGTGTACATTATTGAATCTAATACATGGAGAAAAATAACACAAATCCACTCCACATACGCGTTTCGCGTCTCACCCAAAACAAAACAGTAATAACAACCCATCACAGCAAGCAAGGAACACTCCCTTCCCAATGTAGTTAGTCTCCTTTCCCCTTACTCATCTCTATGACATAATCAATCCTTAAAGACCGACTAACCCAATCAAGCAACTCTATTATGCAATATGATCCAGTAGTGGCCCTCTTTAACTCTCAACTTGAAATTCCCCGTCCGTCCCCATCCCATCCCCCCCAGACTGAGTCGCTCGTCCCCACAGTCCAACGTCACCGTCCTCCACGATGGGTCCTGACATGGCACAACTTGGCATATTATTTTTCTCCTGATATTAATATCCAGGTGGGAAAGAGTCCACGTGTGTGACGTTGACATACTATCCTTGTTCTTCCGATGGTTGCCGGCAGCATGAGTGGCCTAATCTCCGACCGGGGCTATGTTCACCATCATGTAGATTGTTGTAGTTTTTAGGGATGGAAATAGCAGTGTATTGTTTGGATGTAGTTCATATAATGCAGGCGGATATAATATGACGATGTTGCGAGATTCTGAAGTAATGTTGTGGATCTTTGCAAACGGATTGCTCAGTGGTGGATGTTGAATATATATTGTGGAGCGAGATGAGGAATCAACGATTGAACGTCGAGGTCAAGGCCCAATGGTCTTAACAACAGGTCTAGAATTGTATGGAGGAAGATAATAATGTGGTAACATCTAATTGCTATCATAACGTCATACGAATTGATCTATATACAGCAGGCACTTTTCAATAGGACCAGACTAGTGCGGACTATCCTCATCCGAGTCAAAGTGCTCGCGCGCCCAAGGACTGCGCAGCCGAATAGCACGACCCTTGTAGAAGAAGATAAATGGAATCGGCACAAGCAGAATGGCGATAAAGCCCAGCAGACTGGACGCCCACTCATAGTCGAGCTTCTCGTACATCTGCGTAGCGAACAGCGGGAAGCCAGCACCGACGAGGTTGCGGACGAGGATGACACCAGCCAGAGCGGAGGCAGAGTAGGTCTGGTAGCTGTCGACAACATAGTTGAGGATACTGAGGATGACGATGTAAAGACCCGCTCCGAAGAAAGAAGACGCAATGATGGGGACGATCCAGTGCACGGAGCGGTAACTGGTCCAGCCGAACCAGAACAGACTGATCGGGATGAGCAGCGAGCCGACACGGGCCATCCACATACGCGCTTCCGGGACACTGCGGCCGCTGTTCTCGGCCACGCGGCGCAGGTAGTACCGTTCCTGCAGCGGAGAAAGGGCGCAGGCGATGATAGGGCCAATAGCCATACCCAGGAAGCAGAGACCCTGTTGACCGACGTTGAAGCCGTGGCCGTTGGGTTCGCCAAAGACGAGAGGGAAGGCTTCGTTAAACAGGTAGACCAGCCCGTAGAGGAAGCCGTTGTAGATGGCGGAAAAGGTGGTGATGGGCTCGGTGAACAGGAAGCGGAAGGGACGGGTGAGGGTGATCGCAAACAGCTGGTGCAGGCCCTTGCGGTCTTCTGCGTGGAGGTCGGTGGTGGTCTCCGCAGAGCGCAATCCCTCGCGTTGCATCTGCTTACGCACGCGGGCCGCCTTGCGCTGCAGGATGATGCTGTGGCGGGTTTCCGGGACAGTGAGGACCAGCGCAATCCAGGTGCCACCAGTGATGGCCATCATGATCCAGAAAATCCAGTGCCAGTTCAGATTCAGGCCGATGTAGCCGCTGATCACCAGGGCCATGGGCGGGCCAAATGTGCTACTGAGACCGTAGAAGGCCATAGGGCCACCACTGTGGTTACGCTCCCACAGATCACTGATGGTACCACCCGTGTTGGTCAACGGGGCACCACCGGCGAAACCGGCGATGAAACGGCAGACAATAATGGTGCCAATGTTAGGTGCCAGTGCGAGAGGCAACTGGAAGATGGACATGATGAACCACGAGACGATGTAGACGGGCTGGCGACCGAAGTACTCGGACAGCGGAGCCAGCAAGACAGGTCCAATGGCATATCCCAGCACATACATGGACAGACATAATGTGGTGACTTCAGTGGACACGTGGAAATGTTCCGCGATGCCGGTGGCTCCGGAGGAAAAGGAACCGCAAGACCAAGTGCTGGATTTGTGTTAGTAGGGTCGAGACACAGGCGGTTGACAATAGACCTACGTGATAACGTTCAAAAAACTGGCAAACAAGGTAATGTACCACTTGCGCCAGTATCCCCAGCAGCGCGGGTTGTCCCGATCTTGCGGACCAAAGGTGATGCGCAAGGGGAGGGCTTCATCAGGCTGGTTCCTGGCGCGAGCCAGAGCTTCCTCCTCGGTGACGACCAGCGGAAGAGTCTCACGGTGTAAATCCGAGATCTCTTGCTTCTGGTCGGCAGTGGCGAATAGGTCGCCGACGTGGGATTCCTCGGTCATGGTCGCGGCGCCAGGCACAAGTGAGGATTTTTGGTCAAGAGATACAGAACATGGAAGTTGATTCGGATCAACAGGGGACGAAAGACTTTTAATAAGGAAAAGGAATATTTGCGGCGCGAGGGGCAAAAGGGCATCAGCAGCCCGCCGCGTGACGTTCCCCGAGTGCAGTCTTTTGCCATGGCCCAACTCCACTGGCCGGTGAGGGTTGCAGATGGTCTACCAATGAGATGGAGGGCACATAAGCTTCGACTCCAGATTTCTCCAGTTGCAGCCGTGTTCTCCGTCTCTTCGGGGTATGACCGAGCTGGTTTACAGGGTAATCCGGTGTCGGGAGGCAAGCTTTGAGCGTCAGGTTCAAGCCTCGGTCAAGCTTTAGGGCGCCGTGCCATCCGGGCGAGGATTCCAGAAAAGAGGGCCGATAAAGGCGGGATCTTGGCCGCCTTACCCGAAAGGCGCTTAGTGTGGCTGCACTCCAGGGGATCGTCTCCTCATCATTCCTCCATCCTTTCGTCTCCCCGTGGAGTTGCCCTTGTTTCTCTGACTCACCGAATCCGCACGGTCGTCGGCCGATACACATTTCCCCAGGCAGGAATGCCGACACCCCGCCGGCTGTTCCATTTGCCGTTGATGCTGGTCCAGCAAAACTGTTTCCCTGCCCTTGTTGGGCCGAGATGCTTCCGGTGAGCTGATTCTGGTCTAACAGCAAACTAGAATCAGCCACACCGCGTTGGTTTTTTTATTTATTTCTTTTTTTCCCCTGCTAGCGAGATAGACTAGATAGCTGCTGCCATTGCACCGAATAAATACTCTTCCGTGATAAGCACCTTATCTTCCCATAGTGTACCACAAGTAAAGAAGGTAGTACTCAGCTGCCCTAGGAAGAAAAATCAACCTTTTTCACCGTCAGTGTTAATGTTAATAATATGGAACCATAGTGATTCCCAGCCGCCCTCCACCGGCTTTTAGGCTAAATGCCATCAGCCCCAAATCCCAACCCCAACTTGCGAGACCAGACACACAGGACACTAAGTAATCTCCCCGGGCTGTTTTTCGGAGGGTTAATCCCCACTTGCCATTGGTAAGCACTAGATAGGTACGGCTCCTTCGAGTCGGTTTAGTTCCCACGGAGAACCAAAAAGTTGAGCTCCCCGGTGAATGAGTCGGTCGGTATGTCGCTCCCACCACGGTCGGCATGCTTACGGGCGTCGCTCTCATGCCGGCTGTCAGCATCCTTTCCCCGTGAGAACTGCCCCTCACGTAATACTATATCAACCAAGTACGGAGAACGGTGGACACAGTAGACAGTAGAGAGTAGACAGCACGGGTATAGCTGGGTGCCTCGACACGCGTGGACCTTCTGCCGCTCCTGGTTTGGCCTGGCCTCTTCGTGGATAACGTGTTGGTGTGACAACCAATCAATCTATCTCGTCTGCTTCATTGATCATCCAGCCTCAAAGCTGATTTGTTGTGCGGTCGCTGGCGCTGCTCAGCTCTTTTTTTTGGGTCACAGCTGGTCTGCCCACATTGGCATCCACTTGGCTAGTAGTTGACCAGGCCTCGTCCGTGCCGCTCATCACTCGCACGGAATCAATTCTCCGCTGACTACCGAGTAACCCGGGGACATGCTGGCATTCTGGGCAGCTTGAGCCATGCAGCGCGACAAGAATCTCCTCTCCCTGGTCGTTGTGCACGCATGGATCGTTGGCCCATCTTGGCATCTGATGGTCTCCAGGCGCCGACTCAACTGATCTCGTCCTGGTTGGCCCGGACATTGTTGCCTCGCAGAGAAGTCCGATCTCAGGGTTTCTCGGTTTGCCTCCCTCATGGGGTGGCTGTCTTCCGGACATGAGTCGGCCCAGGGGCTCCACCGGGCTCGTTGTCACACCTTTGGAAATTTGGGTGCACAAGGCGTTGGAGACGCCCGGCATCCTTTCCGTATATTGCCATTGATGTTTGCATACTTCGCGCGAGGTATGGAAGACTTTACGTCGATGTTATCTGTCCTATGGTGACATGGACTTGATGGGCAGTAACTTGATAGGCCAGAGCGAACACACGGTCTCTGCCACTATGAATGATAGCCATGCATTGTCTGTGTCGTGTGCTGTCAGTGCTTTTGTGCGGTCCCCGCGGATTAGTGAACCTTGAGCAATAGTGATCATCGGTCGGAGAAATTCGCCTTTGAAGACAATTTTCACTGGTTTGTCCCACTAATGTGTATCATAACCTGCCAAAAGCCCGGTTTGGTGTAACTTGGGGGAAGAGGCGTGAGTTCTCCTCCAGCTGGGGTATTGTCTTTCCTGGAGAATATCAACCTTGAACCTACAACCCCCGACCGCCAACCTGCCTGTTACACCTGTACACTGGAATATTGGAGTTGATGGCAAGATTGATTTGGCACCTTGCATAGCTCGAAGCTTCATTCCGCGATGATGAAACTGTTGCAACCGCAGGCATGCTACTCTTTCGATGAGACATACTGTGCGGTCGGACAACAATAGGGTCCTCCACGCGACGGAGTTAGTCCACGGGTGAACTTAACCCCTGTTATACAGCATCCCTGGCGATAGTCATACAGAGCAGACCGCCTGTTCCCAGGTTGAGGGCTCAAATTCAAGGTCACTGTGTATATATATCGCAGCCGGCCTGCTTTATTTCAGCAATAACACGAGATACAAGATAGCGGAAGGAACACGAACCACTAAATCAGCTATCAAAATGCGCTTCGCACTTACGGGGACCGCCCTTCTGGCATATATCTCGCTTGCCACCTCGCATGTCATCAAGCGGGACATCTCCATTGTCCTTCGTGGTCTTTCCACTTTGAATGCCAATATAGGCACATTCGGTGCATCCGTTTATCGTTACGACGGAACACTTCCTGCTGCGATTGAAATCTTCCACCAGGAGAGTAGCCTGGAGAAAGATCTCGAGGGAGTGGCGGCCGACACCAACAGCACGGCGGAGTGGACCGCCCAGGAGAGCAATAGCGTGACTGAATCCTTGGTGGGATTGGAGCCGATTATGCGAACCTCAATTGCCGCACTTGTGATGAAGGTTGGAAGCAATCCTCTAATCCGTCATTTTTCTACGAGGTGTTCTGACCCTACGATTCCAGAGAGATCTCTTCATCGGCGCCGGCGTGGGCTCTGCAGTGCGGCTTAATTTGGTCAACATGAGGAGCCGGACACTTGCTCTTTCTGTGGCGTTGCAGAACAAGGCTGTCGGTGCTGATAAGGAGACCATCCGACAAGGGACCGGGGATGTGGACGATGCTTATGACAGTGCGATTGATTCTTATGAGTCTCGGCTGTGAGCAAGTCTGTGCCGCCTGTGGCTTGGTCAAAAAGGTCTTCGAGACATCGGTTAGGCGCCCAGAATATCTGTTCACGATTAGCTATTCTCAATGCAAAGGGTGTTGACGTATGGTCAATTTCCTTTTTTCAGGAGATGAGCACCGCGTAGTGGTCGGGAGTCCACATCCAGCATGTCTTGCCTTATGAGGGTTCCGGATGTGATCTATCTGTTCCGCGCACTCAAGTTGGGCTTGTCGCTACAAAGTCCCAACGTTTGATTTACAAAGGAACTGGGGCCGGCGCTTAGTTAACAGCTAGTTCGCTAACTAGCTATTTAGCATATTGACGAGCACGGATGTCTCGGCCCCCCTGCGGCCAATGAGGAGCTCAATATGGGTCTACAACACCTACTTAATGCATGCCAATGCGACAGCTACAGCTAGGTTACCAATGATCGATAGAGTTGATACTGAGGGCTCTATTGTTCCCATCCTCGGCGATGTAGGGCGAGAGGGGAATTTGTCGAGCCGAGGTGCATCTCCCCGACGCGAGCGGGGTTGGAACTTGGTACAAAGTCGCCCAGCAGGAAAAGCAATTCCCATCCCTCGATTCACCGCATTTCACTCCCCCTGAACTCGTTCTACTACCACTCACTCTCATCATGCCCTCCAACTACGCTCACCATGTGGGAAACCATGATTTTACTCGTGCCACCGTCGTGATTATCGGGGCCGGCGTATCAGGTACGACATGATCCCCTTGCTTGTGACCCGGGATATCATAAACTCTTCGCTGACAATTTCCCAGGGATATGCATGGCTATTGATCTTCTCCGTCGAACCCCCATCCGAAAGTTCGTCATACTCGAGCAGGGAAGCGCCGTAGGAGGAACCTGGGCCAACAATCTCTACCCAGGCTGTGCATGCGACGGTCAGAAGCGACCGGCCCAACATGGTCGCGCGTATAGATAGCTAACAGCCGTGTAGTCTGGAGTGCCCTGTACAGCTATTCATTTGAGCAGCGTCCCGACTGGACGGCGGAGTATCCGGCTCAGGAAGAGTTTCTGGTAAACATGTCTTGCTTTCAACGCATATCAAAAGCTGAGCCCCTGTAGGCATACCTCACGGATATTGCCCAGAAACACGGCCTCTACCAATACATCCGGTTCAACTCGACCGTACAGAAAGCCCGCTGGGACGATCAGCAACAGCAATGGAAGGTCCAGGTTGCTCTGAATGGCACCAAGGCTAGCGAATTTCATGAGGAATATGAGCTCACCACAGACTTCCTGGTATCCGCCGTCGGACAACTCAATGTGCCCAGCTATCCCTCCATCCCAGGTCTGGATGATTTTACCGGCAAGTTAATTCACTCAGCCAGATGGGACTGGACCTACGACTTCTCCGGCAAACGAATTGCCGTGATCGGAAATGGTAATTACTTCATACCCAATAGAACACTTAGCATCATATACTAACACCCGTGACAGGCGCCTCGGCAATCCAAATTGTCCCCGAAATAGCTAAAACGGCCTCTCGTATAACCATCTACCAACGCAGTCCGAAATGGGTCGTTCCACGCTTTAACAAGCCGATCGGCGCTTTCCAGCAGTCCCTATTGTCATATATACCTCCCGTGCGCTGGTGCAAGAGAGTCCTGCAGATGCGTTTTCGAGAATGGTCATACAATGTTCTCGTCACCCCCGGCACGGTCCCGGCCCGCGAAGCTGAGGAAGCCGCAAAGAAATGGATGAAAACCCAGTTACCCGACAAGCCCCAATTGTGGGACGCTCTGACCCCCAACTATGCCATAGGATGCAAGCGAATCCTCATTTCGGACGACTTCTACTCAGCATTGAATTCGAGTCACGTAGATCTCAATACCCGGCCCATCCAGCGCGTCACAGCCACGGGAGTGCAAACAGATGATGACGAGCAAGAGTACGATCTTATCGTGTTGGCTACTGGCTTCCGTGCTTCGGAATTCCTGCACCCAATCCGGGTGTATGGCGCTGGGGGCCGGTCGCTGGAAGACATCTGGAAGGGCGGACCAAAAGCTTACTATGGCATGACCGTCGAAGATGTGCCGAACTTCGGCATGCTTTACGGACCCAACACAAATTTGGGTATGTTCATCCTCTCATCAAGACCTTCAAGAACTCATGCACTGACAGAGATAGGTCACAACTCCATCATCCTCATGATCGAAGCCCAATCACGATACCTAAGCACATTGATCCGAGCCGTAGCCGATGCGAAGAAAAAGGACCAAACACTGGTTATTCAACCCCGCCCGGAAGTGCTACGCGAATACAACGACCGGGTTCAGAAACAGTTGGCAGAAACCAGTTTTGCTGACCCCAACTGCCAAAGCTGGTACAAGACTGATGAGGGCCTGATCACGAACAACTGGCCATCCACAGTGGTGCAGTACCAGAAGGAGGTATCTCATGTGCGATGGACGGATTTCCTTATCAAGGGAGATGGGGCTGCGGCAGTGGAGAAGAAGAAGGCAACTTATGTTGGTCGTGTCAAGGAGGAAGCTCTGGTTAGCAATGTGACGTTGTTCTTGGGGGTTGCTTTGGCGGCTGGAGGAGTTTACTGGCGTGCTACGAGGGGGTGGAAGTGGTAGGCTTTAGGCTGCTGTTTCGTGATAAGGATCTACTGTAATGTCCTCAGTGGAGATAGTGAATTAGCTTGCTCGTTTGTCTAAGTCGAGGGACGCCCCTCGTAGACAAAGTAAATGGCAGCGAGACCGAAATTCTGGGCGTCGTGTCTGATTTTGGGTATTCCATTGCTAAGGTTCGGACATAATACATCCCACTATCCCAACACATAAACACCTATCCAAACATAATCTTAAACCCCTCAAACCACCTCCCAGTCCGTCTAGAAGTTGGAACCTCAGCAGCAACAATCTCAGCTATCCCAGTCACCAAATCCACCTCCTCACACGGAATCAACCAAGGTCCTCTCCACCCAGTATACAATCTATGCCCGAAATAAAAGACCACGAAAATCGGAATACCCACATACGAAGTAACGAACGTCGAGGTATCCCATTGCCCCGGAAAGAACACCGTAAACCCATTCAACCATAATAACAAGAATATCACACAGCCAGCAAAATACGCAGCATATGGCTGAAACCTCGACCGATACGGCAACCCCGCAACATCAAGTCCCTGCGCCGTCGTGGCGTTGCGAAAGCGAATGTAGATAACACATACACACACCCAACTGAGATACGCGCCGCTATTCACGAGGTTGACGAACCAGTTGAATACTGTTGCGGTGGAGGAACTGACGTTCATGTATGCGAGGAGGGAAAATAACGAGGTAAATCCCAGAGACATGTACGGGACACCTGATGCTGTACAGTGTTTGAATATCTTAGGCGCGGTGCCGAGTGTCGCCATGGAATATAGTGTGCGAGTGGCAAGATATAGCCATGAGTTTCCGGCCGACCAGGCTGATAACAGAATCACAATGTTGATTACCGAGTCGAGACCCTTGATGCCTGCGTCTTTGGCTGCGATCGCCCAGGGAGAGGCGCTGGCGTCGCTGCTGCTCCCTAGTAGCTGGTTGTTGTTGCTCGGGCAGATCAGACCTATGAAGAAGGCACCGAGGATG